ACTCCATTTCACCCGCAGCTAACAACTGCGGCTCTAGGCCGCGGTTTAAGGCCGGCTTGTGTTCTTCGAGCCGCGGTTTGCGGCCGGCCCGCGGCCGATTCATTTTTTTTTTCGTTTTTTTTAATTAAAAATGTTTTTAAAGTAATTAAGAGAGTTAATAATAAATTTGTTTTTTCAATAATGCTTAAATATGAATATTCATCAATAAAATTTAATAAAATTAAATATTAATATTTCTAAGAATATTAAATATTAAGTATTTTGTAATAGTACTTAAATATGAATATTAAATATTAATATTTATAACTAATATATATTAAAAATTATATTGATAATTATACTAATTATGATACTAAGTATTATATTAGTATAAATTAATTAGTATTTAGGATAATTAAACATTATATTTATACTACTCTATTAGTTATACTACTATATTTAGGATAATTAAACATTCTATAAATACTAATTTAGGATAATTATTAACACAATTATACTTCTAATTATACTACCTACTCAACTACTATAATAGTATAAAATTAAATTAATTATATTAGAAAAAATTTTATTAGCATTAAATATTAAGTTATAATTAGAATGAATTTTTTATAAAACTTAATTTATAATATTATAAATTATTTTATTAACTTATTAACATATATGGTAAGCAGGGGTCAATCGAAGATTTTGGAGGAGACGGTGTTGATTACGGATGTTGTTTCGCTATAAGTGACCTATTTGATAGTTGTGACGAAGCTGTTAAATGGGCAAAAAGCATTGCAATAATATGGCGTTTCCAGTTGGTGATCTCGAGAAATTTAGATAACGGAGGAAAAGAGTTGAGGTGTCATCGAGGGGAACGTTACAAAGGTACTGCAGGAAAAGTAGAAAATTTCGTTAAGGCTGTTATGAGAAAATCGAAAACAAAATCCATCGGCTGCCCTTTTATTATAAACGTCAAACGTGATGCAACATCCAAAAAATTTTGTATCTCGGTTCCTTTAGATGACGAGAAGGGGACGCATAATCATGCGTTTGCTGTGAATCCCGAGGGTCAGCGACAGATGAGCGGACTCAGCGATCCATCCAGAGAGATTGTCCGTGATATGAGTTCTGCTCAGGCACCACCGGCAGTAATTCTGGCTGCAATTCAGGAGAAACACCCTATGGGCAACGCGACTATCCGACAAGTGTATAATTATAAAGCTAATTTGCGGAAAGAAAGTTTGGAGGGGAGAGATGTGGCTGGGCAGCTTCTGCATTTGGCTACGGTCAGCAAGTACATAGTTTATACTGACGTTAATCCGAACACACAGGCATTGACACATGTGTTTATGTCGCATCCACAAGCAGCCAGTCTATTCCGGACATATTACTTGTATGTCGGTATAGATTCCACGTCCGTTCGTTCCCTCGTATTCCGAAGTTGAGGGTTGACTTTGAGAAAGAAAAAGAAGGGCTTTTTCACCAAAAGAGAGATCAAGAAGAGGGTACTGGACTCTGCCTGCTAAAGAAAGAAAGGGATTTACTTCAAGCAAGAGGGAAGGAGGACAACAACAAAACCAACAGGTATGTTACTTTACTTTATAAATAGACAGTTGATTGTGAATCTTATTTTAACTATTATGTTTGATTGAGTAAGTTTGTTTATTTTATGTTTTATCTTCTTGTTACAGGAATCATATGCCGTTGGTGGAGATGGTTGGGATGACGACGTGCAATAGGAACTTCTTAATTGCCTATGCAACTATGAAGGACGAGAGTGCATCCAGCTATGACTGGGTCCTACAGCGGTTGAGACTTCTTCTAGAGCCAACTAAAAATCCTTCAGTCATTGTCACTGACAGGGAGTTGGGGTTGATTACTCCTATCCACACGAATTTCCCACAGTCGGCCCACCTATTGTGCACGTGGCACATCAACAAAGATGTGGAAGACAATGTGTATAAACTAACATCAAAAAATAAGGTCTTCGCAGAGAAGTTCACGCACGGCAGGTGGAAGAAGGTCGTCGAGGCGAGCACGTTGGATGCATACGAAGCTGCCTTAGCTGATATGAATGCTACATATGCGAAATTTCCTCGTGTGCTAGAATATGTGAAGAAGACATGGTTAGGCTATAAGGAGAAATTTTTCAGAGCGTGGACGAACTCGTTGTTACATTTTGGCAACACGACGACGTGTAGGGTGGAGAGTGCCCACGCTACATTGAAGAGGTGGCTGTACACATCGACCGGTTCGCTCGACACGGTGTGGAAGAAGATTGACAAGGAGATTGAGTCTCAAACGACGTATATTCCTTAATTTATACATATTTATTGTGTTATTACTGCATTCATTATATAATATGTTTGATTTATGCGTAATGTTATGTAATGTATTACCAGGGAAACGCGAGAGTCTTCGAGACATAGGATGCATACGGGTTACCATGGATTCCCATTCACGCAGTTGAGATTGCAAGTTTCGCATTATTGTTTGGATCTATTGAATGATGAGTTTCAGAGGATGCGAGACTAGGGCGAAGATATTTTTGATCGCTGCGGATGTGTACTGAGTTACACTCATGGGCTTCTTTGTGCCTGTCAGCTAAATGGGGCATATACTATGAGTATGGAAATTACGCCCGACATGATTCACGAGTTCTGGAGCACACTAGTGGTGAATTAGCCAGGTATAATTGTGATGTTGAGTGTGTTGTTTAATTTTTTCACGTATTCTTTTATTTATATAATTAATTATTTATAGTGTGTTGTTTAATTTTTTAAATTTTTTTAACGGACAGGTCACCAGAGTGGATCAGGAAGTGGATGGACAGATCGTGATAATTTTTGGAGGCTTGCATTAGAGGTTGAAGAGGCCGATCCTGCAACGCTGAGGTACGTTACTCAGTTCATGGACTCTACACTTCACTCCGACCAACAAGGTTACACAGAACCTCCAGTGATTGAAAATCCGAGAGGTCGGCCCAAGAAACCTAATTCAACAAAGCGAGATCCATCCAAATGGGAGTACAGTCAAAGAGGCCGCCGTAAAAGCACTTCTTCTTATGCTCAATCGTAGTCGGAGTACATGGATACAGATCGTCGGGTTGGGCGTAAGAGCACTTCTTCGTGTGCTCCATCGGTCTGGGAGTACAGGGAAAGAGGTCGTCCAGTGGGGCGTAAGAGCACGCCTTCGTGTGCACCGACAAGCTCGTCTTCTCAACCTTCTGATGATCAGACAAGTGATTTTTATTTTTTTATTTATCTATACGATAATTAATTATGTTTGTAAATTCGATTATTTAAATTCTGACGTGAAATTATTCTAATATTACAGAGACTTTCTCGATGCCCTTCTTTTAATATATATATCAAAAAATTTGAAAAAAAAAAATCAAAAATTACGAAAAAAAATTAATATAAAACCGAAAAAGTTCGAAATAAATTTATTTTATTATTTTGAAATAATACTTAAATATGAATATTCAATAATAAAATTTAATAAATATATTAAATATTAAAATTTTATTATTATTTTTTTCGTTTTTTGATGATCCGACAGGTGATTTTTATTTGAACGATAATTAATCATGTTTGTAAATTCGATTATTTAAATTCTGACGTGAAATTATTCTGATATTACAGAGACTTTCTCGACGCCCTTCTTTGAATATCGGCATTCTGACAAAATTCCCTACTTAGTGCATCCCTACGTAGAGAGCTATCTGGATGTGACACCGGATGGGAACTGCGGATTTTGGGTGGTGGCGAGTTACGTGTATAGGGATCAGAATATGTGGCGTTACGTCAGAAACAACATGGTAAATGAGATTTTAGCAAACAGACAATGATACGATCCTGTGTATTACTATGCCCTCGATGCCGCAGTCAATCGAATAAGATGGGAAGGGGGTGGTTGTGGGCAGGAGCATTGGATGGAAGGTTTAGGCGACCTCTTTGTAATTGCTACATTGTTTAATGCAGTTGTCGTGTTGTTAGGCAAAGGTGAGACAAATGACAATATCGACTGGAATAGTTTGACATTCTTGCCGTTGCACGCACCATCCACCGCTACGGGACCTGAACGCGAGATCGTGATAGGTCATCTTGGTTCTTACAAACACTACATTCGTCTTAATTTATCATCTGATTCTCCATTGCCCCCTATATGTTCATTCTGGGATAGATACCGAGATGGGACGGTCGCAGAATATGCTAATTTGTACCAGAGGAGGATCAAGTTGTGGCGTCTTATTCGTAGTACAACTGGATCGTGATATACTATGATATTCGACTTATGTATTATGGGTGATACCGAGATTGTGCACTATTTTCTTTTATTTATTTATTAAATCTATGATATTAGAGGTGTGACGCGCAGACAAATAAGATTCAAATGAGCTAACAACAAATAAAAGAACAAAAAACGAAAACAGTTTAACAAAAAACGAAAATAGTTTAACTTGTACGTACAACAAAGTCAATAATATAAGATATATATACAAAGAAAACATTGTACAACAAAGTCAATAATATAAGATATATATAAAAAGAAAACATTCAGCCCATCACCGCTTCGCCCTATCCCAATCGGCATTAAGTAGGTTCAACTCACGTGCAAATTGCGCAGCCAACTCAGAACCATCACTCTCCAATCGCCGCAGCTGGTCTGCCCACACGGATTGGTACCGTCCGACCCACTACACAAAATAGATGAATTAAAATATATGATCACATATAAATTTTTTTAAAAAAAGTGTAATGACAGAATATTAACTAAATTTTATGATCACATATAAATTTAAAAAAAAAATGTAATGACAAAATATTAACTAAATGTAATGATCACATATAATTTTTTTTAAAAAAAAAATGACAGAATATTAACTAAATTTTATGATCACATATAAATTTAAAAAAAAATGTAATGACAAAATATTAACTAAATTTTTAAAAAAAAAATGTAATGACAAAATATTAACTAAATTTTAGTCAAAGACTTACATAATCGTAGTTGGCGCGCGCAGGGACCGCATCGGCGTCCGACAGAGTCTGAGGCAGAAGTCTAGGATGAGAAACCCGCTCATACCATCTCAGATAGTCTCGATGGGTCTGCCCTCTATCATCTACGGGGGTCTCCGTAAAATCAGACAAGTGCAGAGAATGAGGGACCGGGAACTGGTTCCAGCTATCCTCGGCTGCATTATCAGCATGCTCAACCGTGTACGACTG